TTTTTTAATAGCTGCACGCAATTCCTTTCGTAGTATATAAATCTTTTTTTAATTCGTTTTCCTAATCACGTAATAAATAAACGAGAATTATTATATCTTACGTGTTTTAATTAATACAACGTCTGTTGTTTAAAAATTGATTCTCTCAGAATGTAAGGAGATTTCAGACGAAGAGTCGCGGAATTATGTATGGTTACTGACTCTGCATGCGTTATCATATGTCGCCGCGTTATTCTTAGTCGAGGGAGCAATATCCCTGAAACGGGTTGAAAAGTGGGCCGGAATGGGTCGATGGCGAAACAAACACAACACCTGGACATTCTTCCAGCGTCGTGTTCCGTATCCTGGAACTAGTTTGAAGCCGTGCCGATGCTGGGAGGAGGAGGAGGAGGAGGAGTTTGCGCACCGCTGAGCCCGTTCGACCGATATCAAACGTCGATAGACTGGTAATACGGCGTTTGTATCGGCAACGAGGCACGAGCAGCGAAAGAGGAAACAAGAGAGGAAACGAGAAGAGCGGTTTACCTGGACGAAACCCGCTGCCTGGCAACCGAGCGGCAGCTCGGATGCCATTACCTTACAGTACCATTAATTCAACGCGAAACGCGATAGCGTTTCTACGATAATTAAGAGAATTACATAGAACGATTGAGAAATGTCAGCGCATGCTGCAGGAATTGACGGATTAAACAATATTTAGTAAACCGTAAATGGAACGAAACTCGGTAATAATTGAAAGATTGAAAATTTGCATATATTTTAAATATCGTTGATCAAAACCAAAGAAGAATTTTGGATTTTCATAAATCAATGGCTGGCCTTCGCTGAAAATAACGGTGTTCCCAAAGCTGTTAAAGCAGCGTGTAGTAGCGAGCGAGCACTCGAGGCTAGAGTGAAAAACAGTTTGAAAAGCTCGGCTGAAAGCTCCTCTAATGAAGTCGCCTCGGAGCGAAAGTCAGAAAAAGCCGATTTTCATAGATTTCCCGACGAGGGATCACCGTTCTCTGCTTCAGCTAGGATTCTGTCCCGTCGTTAATTATTACACATTGAGAACGACGTACTTCTATAGTGAGAATGAAACGATACAATTTATGAATAATCAAGATTTCTAATGAAATTAAACAAAACGATGAAACCTTCGATTAATATTATATTAAGAATCGTAGACAGTTTCGTTTCATTGCTCCCTCGACTATATTTTTTTTTTATTACCTTTTAAGGCTGTGTCAATTCGATAAGAACAAATTGAGTTAAGAGGAACGAGTCATTGTCCGGCGACGAGTTATTTTACCGCGGGTAAATATCATCCCACGTAACGGGGAGCGTGTTAAATGCTGATTGCGGGCCAGTCAAACCGGACTCCGATATCACGGCGAACCACGTGCGTGCGCACACCGTGAATACTTAATAATCCCGTGCGAACGAGTCTCTTTCGTAATCGTTCGGATCGTATTCTCAAACTGGCCGTCTGAATTCAACTTCATAAACCGACGCTGCTTTCGTGCTTCGGATTTTTTAAGAACTTGAGACAAAAAACAAGTTACCAACGTGCCACTCCATGTCAGAATCTTAATTCGTCTGTCTCTATCGGAGATTAAACTCGATCTACCAATAAATTTTTAGTCATTCTCCTCCCTTTCCTGTTTTAACAACGCAAACTTTATAGAGAATAAAACCTGTTGCACTGAAATGTCGTAAAGTCGTATGAACTCTTTCCTGAGTAAATTTACTACTGATTTTCATATCAGACATTAAGGACAGTTGCCTTGATAGTTATGACAGTAAGTTTTTAAGCTGGACGCAGCTGGAAGTTAGGGACGCCCACGAGAGTGCATTAGAATGCAGCCATAAGCTCGTGGGCCGGATGGTGGAAAAATAACTTTCCGGAGTATAAATAAAGCGATTTCTCACGACGATGGAAGGCAAACGGGACGCGTGGGTGAGATTTCGCGTTTATCGATACGCAGCGTCCGGCCCACGTCGAATCGCGTAACTCTCAACTCTTTCTTCATTATAAACATAAATCTTATAAATACCTCATATTACAATTAAATAATGTACGCCAGACACTCTTTCATTAAACGACGCTCCGATAACGGTGTAACGCTTCTGTTTCTAAATGTTCTACTAGAAAGGCTCGGCGGTTCTGTTACTACCGGTCTCTTTGCATTCAAATCAACGTTCTTTAATAGGAAATGCCTTCTGGCCGTGTACGAGGAATTTTATGCCATGGATGGATACGATCCTTTGTTCTATTCTGATCTTTGATGTTACGTTAGTGCGTCAGACAATTGGGAAATGTTGGCGAAATACACTCCGCATTGTACTAACTACGAAACCAATTATTAACCCGATGTCAAAACCAGTATACTATCGAATTTATCCAGAATAAACTGCATACGATGTAAATGCAATATTCGCAATCATGTTCTTATACTGTTTATTCATGCCGAAGTGAACGTACGCGATTTTTCACTTGGTTATTTCGCATAACCTCAAACCTTTCGAAAGGAGTCTTAACGATAATCTTACCTCGTGTAATTAAGCGAGACAAATGACTCCGCTGGTCTAACGCTGCGAGGAGAAATGACACACACGCGAATCGTTAATCAAATTCAACTGTCAACGACCGGCGCACGATCAGCGACGAGTTACGATCTAACGGATGTTTACTGATCGTTGGCGTAAATCACTTTTTTCGTTTACGATCCGACAGGTGGAGACGCGACGATTAAAAGTCGTCAATGAAAAAAGGAAACGTCGACTCGCGTTCGCGATAACGGGACACGAGCGTTAAAGCCGAGGCAGGTTTCTTGATAAAACTGCAATTTAACGGCGTCTGAGAAACCGCGTTAATGCCGTTCGACTATGCTCATACTGGTTACCGAGCGTTACTGCTTTAGCGGTTTTGTTTTCAAGGAAACCGACTCCGTGATTAAGAAATTTTTTCACCACTGTCCTAGAAACCTTCGATATTGAATTCAGAAAATATTTTCCTGAACTTCCCCTCGTAGTTTTTTTAATCCTTTGCACTCGCTACGGCGCCCGGCACGATAACTAATTGCAAACTGTAATATTTAACAGATTTTGTTGTATTCAANAGGTATTGCAGCTCGATTAATTAGTGAGGGGCTAAACCTGGACAGCCACTGCCGTCTTGTCCCACTTGTACGTATTAAGTTTCAAAAGGGATTGTAAACTTGGACAGTAAATTATTAAATACATATCTATTATGTCCAAGTACTGGTTCCAAAATTCGTTTTGTCCCAGTACTACCTTCTTTACCTTATAGCCGAAATCGTCTCGAGTTGCTGGTTCGCCCGAGCGCAAAAGGCCTCGAGTGCAAAAGATTAACATCGAGAACGATTTTAATTCTATTAAGGAATCAATTGCAAAAATCTTCAAGCGAGAAACCAATGATTTAACCGAATGAAATATGCTTTTTCCAGGTGGATAATCGTATAGGTGCTTGGAATATAGGACTGAACCATGGCGAGGCAGCAGACGGCGGATCGTAACATACCGCACTTGCGGGACATATTCGGTTTCGGTAACAAGTGGGAGAACACGCGGCTCCCGGTCGAGGAGAAGGCGCCGGGACACGACAGCGCCGTGTCCGTCGGCTCAACCTCCGGCGAGGAGGAGAGCCCGAAAAACAGCAAGAAGAAGAAGTCGCGTCGTCGTGACAACAGCAAGACGTTGACGGAGAGCGACGTGAAACACTTGGAGAGACACCTGTCTATGAAGAAGACCATACGCAAGAAGATAATGCGCGACCTGCAACAGGCGTTCGTCGAGGACCCGAACGAGTTCCGGGTGGACGACATCCCGCCGGAACAACTCAAGGCTGAGATCAATATTCAGAGTCTGAGCTTCGGCACGCCGTCCCAGAAGCAGGGACGCACGCGTGGCAACGCGGAGAACACGTTTCTCGACATGCTACGCGCCGGAGGTATATACTTATTCCATAAATTAAATAAACATATTAAATGGGCTACGAATTAATTCTACAAAATAATAATGATATTAATGAATCGAAATATAAACGCGATGAACAGAGCCTCGAGGAAAATGGTGAATGAAATTAAAATGTGGTTTAATGATCAATCTTACCAGGTCTTGAGAAGAATTCCGGGGACGGGGACAGGGACTCGGGCCATGGTGGATCGCCGACGAGGGAGACGTCGAACGCTCAGGACACGGACGAGGAATCCAGTTATCCGTATGACGCACCGGTTGCAACTCCGTCGAAGAAGAGCGGCAACTTCTGGAGACGTTTCACGATGAAGAGCCGCAACAAGCGGTAAATTAATGTACGCCTCGCCCGATGCTTAATTTCCGTTTCCCGTATTACCGTACCAACTTAGTTATTCGAGCAGAGCTTGCAACTGTGATATATATTACTTATCCGAGAGAAAGAGAGAGAGAGAGAGATAGAGAGAGTGAGAGAGTGAGCGAGAGTTTTCATTGTGCAGGAACCGGGGAAATTTTCACGGACGCAGGACCAATCTGAAACAAACCGTTGTTCCTTGTTTTAGGAAAGTTAAATGAAAAATCATGAACGCACATATCATATTTTTTGGCCGAACTTTTTGGAACATGTTTAATTGTAAATAACGTTGAAAATTTCTTTGGGAGCCTGCAGAACCCGGTAACGTTACACGGAACTTTTAGGCGTGTACTTAAATTAAGCGGACAACTAATTAATTAATTAAGAAACGAGGATATCTAGCGTAAGGGTAGCTAGTTTTTAATTACATTTTTTTTTTCTTTCTTTTCTTCGTCATTATTTTAATATAAGGAGAAGGAAAACCAGATAAGTGTGCACAGCTCTTGTTAGTGTTAGCTAGTCAACGCAGGTTTTACAAGTGAATCGACATTCTCGAAATTCGTCCCGAGATTTGATACTATTATCCTTCGTTTTCGAGGTCGATATGAAAATATATGAAAACGTTTCGGACACATATATTTTAATAAAAATTACTTTTAGATAGAATTACTTTTCTGTAATGAAGAAAAGAAACGGGAACATCTTTTTATACCGCGTAGCTATCGATTCTCCATGAAAAATCTGAGGAAAACAGAAAAACGCCGAGAGGATTGTAAAACATATGTATAACGTTTACTACGAGGTTTCATATTTATTGTAATACCGTTGGTGTGAAATTCCATTGTTCCTATTATATCGTTCTTGGATACTACCTTTCAACGGCGTCTCCGTACTTCCGGGAGCGCCATGATTACTGCATTAATAAGTAGACATTTTACCTGGAACCGTTAACTGTAAAATATATATTAATTATATCATACCCGAGGAACACGATGTTAGAATGTAGCGTTTAAATAATAAAAGTTCTCTACGAACGTTCTCCGCGTCTTGTCTTTGCCCCCTTCATTTAAAACGATTAGGAACCATTTTTATTTGAACAACAATATAAAAAGTATTACAAAATTCTCAATACAAAAATAAGTATTCGATTGCACGTTAACGTTAAGTTGAGTATACTCAGTTCTACTGGTTGGTGAATTTCGGCGATCTTTTCTCGACGAACGCGGACATCCCTTCCTTCCTGTCAGCCTGCATTTACGATTATTTTATCAATGAACAAATTTAGTTTCTCAAAGAGTCAGATTATATTCGAATAGTTTACCGTCGCAAATGTGCCGTGGAACATCCTCTTCTCGAAATGAAGCCCCTCTTTCAGAGTGGTTTCATAAGCTGATAAAACAATTTAAATAAAAGGATAAATTCAATAATTACAATTTAATTCATTAATAAATTACCAGTATTAACAGACTCCTTGGCCATGGCAACGACCAGCTGAGAATGGGAAGCGATTTTCTCGCCCAACTTCACCGCCTCGGCAATGAGTTTGTCCGCAGGGACAACCTTGCTCACTAGACCTACAAACAAAAATGACAAATTATTCCTATTCAAATTTAATTATCTCTCCCATTCGTTTAACGATGTTCACCGCTTTTCTCTGCTTCCTCAGCGGTGATTTGATTTCCGCTAAGCACCATCTCCATTGCTTTGCTCTTGCCGATTGCCCTGGTCAATCTCTGGGTGCCACCAGCTCCGGGAATCGTGCCGATCGCGATTTCCGGCTGGCCGAACTTTGCTTTGTCACCGGCGTAAATGATGTCGCACATCATCGCCAACTCGCACCCACCACCTAACTAAATAATGATACATCAGAGAAAAATTCTTGTATTATAATAAATTAAGAAAGGATCATTCGTATAAAAGAATTTCTTTTACTGCGTAGCCGTTCACGGCAGCTATCACCGGTTTTGAAAGTCGACTGACGCCATCCCAAATCGTGAGGAAATTTCCTCTCATAGTCTGGGCGTAAGTATTGTTCTGCATTTCCTTGATATCAGCTCCTAAATGATAATTTAACTTTAAAAAATAATTTAAAGATAAAAAATGTAGTCTTTTAAATTATACTGGCAAGCAGATAAGACTTCATCAGAGATAGACTTGCAGATTTCTAAATTTCAATTTCAAATATAAGAAATTATGCATTCAATGTTCGTAATTCCGTAGCGCAAGGATTTGTACGTATTTTTTATACATGCTTTCAATATCGTACCGGCGGCGAATGCTTTCTCGCTGCCGGTGAGGACGATCGCGCCGATGCTCTCGTTCATATCGAGCTTTGTAACGGCATCGTTCAATTCCGTCATTAGTTTATCGCACAGAGCGTTCAACGCCTTCGGTCTGTTCAATGTGACCAGAGCGACGTTCTGTTTCTCGCCGGTGGTCTCAACCTTAATAAACTCATAATTCTGAACTTGGCCTGCGAACAATTCAAAACAACTTGTGTCTGAATTTCAGTTTCGTCGACGACCTTTGCCCCCATCGAGCGTTACGTAACGATAAAGAACCGGAGTCAACAACCGGCGTTCAATAAATTTATTAAATATAAATAACATGACTGTATTAAAAATAATAGTAAGCGCATATGGAAAAGAAATGGAACATCAGAATTTTTACATTAAATTGAACTTACATTAAATTCACATAATGTAAAATTTGATTAATTATTACAATACGTTGTCAGCACAAATGTATGATTATCTCAAGTCGTTAAAATTTTAACGACGTTGCAAAGACAGTATGATTAACACTTTGTCAACACCAAAACTAATCGTCACACTGTTCAACGTTATTCAATGTATTTTTCTTATCAATACTCACAGCAATAATATTTCACGTTCGACGCAAAGTACTGTGATTTCCGGCCAATTTGCAAGCCTTTGCCGAACATAATTTGACCAACACGTGTGGTTGCCATGATGACCGTAGATTTTTAGTACAAAAAAATAAGAGAAACACCGTTTTAGTGTCTGAGACGAAGGAGCGACTAAATGATAAGTCAGACGTCAGACCCGGTTACTACTTGCCAGACGCTATACGTAAGGACTGGACAAACAAGAACCTCTCCATGAGCCAACTGGACACAGTGGTGTACCCGATGATCGACAAACCCTGACCCTAGCATCAGTTTTAGAAAATTCCTACACTTAAATTACAAAATAATTAACAGAAACAGACATTTAATAAATAAAATTTTAATACATTCGACTTGAAAAATGTTCTACGATTAAAACAGGCCTTGTTGCTCTGTAGAAATCTGTTATCTGTAAATAGCTTTCAATAGGCATAATTTACATTAATTCATGCTTCTGATTTAGCAATTGCCAATAATAAGAACAGTGCGACGTAACCGGAGAGGAATACAGCAAACCGAAAGGTTCACGCCATCGTACGGCCAGCGTGACAATACGCGTGTCGCAAACCGGTTGATAATAACTATTTAAAAAATGTTACAAAGCCTGAAAATACTAAAA